TACGGGGAATATACAACGTTAACCAAAACAAAAATTCTAAGTTGCCCGGAACTCGAAGTTTGGTAACTGTTAACTGTTATTTAAAGTTTGAGTTACTAAATGTGAACGTTTAACGAAAATGAAATTCTATGTTGCCCCGTAATTAGAAGTTTGGTTAATTGTTATTTAAAGTTTCAGTTACTAAATGTGGACGTTTAACAAAAATGAAATTCTATGTTGCCCGTAACTCAAAGTTCTGTTAATTGTTAATTGAACATCAAATTGCAATTTGGGCGTGGTTTTTGAAATATGGGCATGGTCATATTTGTAACTCAATGTTTTCGTAACTCTATGTCCGTAACTGGAACAATTTAGCATCTCTAAAAAAAAGTCAAATATTATAATTAAAGTACAATCGTATTTGTAAATTATTTGCTCTGTTAGCACATAACAGAAGTGCACATAAACCAAACATTGCAACTTATGTATACAGGATCATTGAAATATGACTCATTTTGACAGATACTCTAGCCCCCTACTAATATAACAAATATTGTTTCTGTAGTGCATGCACTCTGGAAAAAAGTGTGTGTATGTAGAAATAAGGTTTAAAAGAGCGAGATCTTTTTCACAGATTTTTGTGACAGCTTGCATATATCAAAAAATGAATTATTGGTCAACCAAACATTCATTATATTTTTCTCTCATTGTTCATTAAATTTGAAAAAAAAATAAGAACCAACAGTGAACATTTAAATGTAATGTACACGATGACATGCTTATTTTTTTTCATCGTACTACAAAGTCTTATTGCCAATGTATATTTCTACATTTGAGGAATAAATGCAACTTGAACTATAGACTGGCGCAGTCGGGGCAATTAATTTTTTTTTTTTTTTTTAAGTTTAAATAAAATTTAAAAAAAATCGCGAAATGAAGCGGAATCACCTCGATTGGTTTATTCTGCAGGAATGTTATTGCTATTTAATATTCATGATGCACGTATTATAATGAGGTGGGCGCGGAAATACGTGCATAATGAGGTCAACATGGTAAAGGTCACATTGCAGACCCAACATGGCGGCACGTTGAAATTTGAGTTTGTGGTAGTCGTAAATAGACTTAAAAAGTAACTCGTACTAGTCGTAGAATTAAAAAAAATCGGCTGCTACAATCAGTCGACGTCTTCTCGGTCAGAGGTCAGTTTAAGAAACATTGTGATTGGCTTAGATGATTGTCAATTAGAACACTCATTAACATAATTACCTGTTGAAAAATCGATGGGTTGCCGGTTCCTGCAGTGTCGGTTGAGGGCCATGCAAAATAAACCAGTCGGGATGATTTCGCAGTTACAAGGGATTTCGCGCATCACCTCTATTTTGCAGAATTTTTTATTTTATTTAAACTACAAAAACAAATTAATCCTCGACTGCGCCAGTCTACTTGAACAACTACAATATCATTTGTTACATTACCACAGTGCCCTCTCACAATTTTGACTAAAATACTTTTGTTTTTATTTTGACAACATAGCATCCACTGTCATGATAATCACTCTTTTCAACGCTGCTATTCGTGGCACTTTGTTTTTGATTTTGAATCTTGGGTCAGTAGTATAATGTTGATGATACCAAGCTGAAGGTGAACAGACATATTATGTTCAAACTTAAATTAACAATATAATGGAACCTTGATGTGCATCGTTTTATATTTCGGTTTGGGTTCAAACTCACTTACGCACTGCAAATTTTTTATTTTCTCATTTAACAGATTCCAGAAAGTGGCTACAACACAGGCTCTGAGTTGGTGTTTTTGGAACAGTCTAATGAATATCCAGATTATGTGTGTCAGGATCATGTCCAGTATCAAAGAAGTTCAATGGAACCCAAAGAATTATTTTCAGTTTTTAATCATTTAGGTATGGTAACTGAGAATCAATATAAGTCAATCTCTGTGGTAGCTGATATTTATTCTTGATCTCATGCCAACACGCACAATGTTTTTTTTTTAAATATTTTGTGCTAGGTGACACAGTTCCAGACACTGTTGAATGTCACTGTTGTCTCCCCTGCCCTTTTTGTGTGTGTGCAAATATAGTGCATTTTGCCACAGAAATCATATTCCAGCTTGAGACTACATGAAAGGGATGTGTGACCAGCTTCTTATCATAATGCAAGGTCCGTAGCGATGGGAAAATCCTTTGAAAGTCTTTGGATTTTTTGAGGTCTGGATATTAATGATATTTAGCTTCTATTCTGGCATCAACCTGGCCTGGTCGAACATATGCGTCTTTGTACCCTAATGAAGGTTTTTCCAAAGTCACATTTCTTAGTGAATGAATCTCGGCCAGTAGATTTAACCTTCCTATTGAGTATGTGGCACACTCACCCAGGGTAGGGGTGGACCCATTTTTTGAGTTTAATTCCCTGTTAAGGTAGGATTCTAATTTGGGTCTACCGATCATCTACTCATTGTCTGCTACAAAACCATTACACTACCACAAAATGAGTGTGACATATGACATATGCCCACCATTCTTATTTTGCAGATAGTGTTATTAGAAAAAAAGTTAATATCGAAATAGAAAATTTGAGGCGAAATATCCAAAATTTAATAACAGACCAACAAGTACAGTACAGAGGAGCTCTTGGAGTGACCACATCTGTGGAAGATGCGCCTTCTGTAAGTGAATTATAAAGTGATTTGACTCAAATGTAAAACATTTTTGTTTAATTATGCCAATGATACTTATT